GCCAATGCAGGGGACATGGGTTCGAGCCCTGGTCCAGGAAGATCCCACGTGCCGCGGAGCAACTAAGCCCGTGCGCCACAACTACTGAGCCTGTGCTCTAGAGCCTGTGAGCCACAACTATTGAGCCCAGGTGCTGCAACTACTGAAGACTCGCACCTAGAGCCCATGCTGCGCAACAAGAGAAGCCACTGCAACAAAGAGTAGCCCCTGCTCGCCGCAACTAGAGAAAGCCCGCGCAGCAACGAAGACCCAGCGCAGCCAAAAATAAATAAATATTTTTTTTAAAAAAGGAAAAACTCTAACAACAGGCAGTGGCCCAGATTTGGCCCACCGGCCATGGTTTGCCAACACTTGACTTAGCATGAAGAAGGGAAATGTTATAGTGAGTAAAGCGGGTTGAGAGAGCTGTTTCTCTCCCTACACATAGTTGTAAATTACAAGACTGGATAGTGGAGGAAGAACCTGCTAATGTATTGAGAATTGCTAAAATCTTGCTAATGAGAAAATTGAAGTAAAAAGACCAGAGGAATATGTCCCTATGCTTTTACTTTGAGGAAAAAAAACCAGAACTTATTTCATACAGATAAGTTTTTATTTCCTGCAAACATGCCTGTATCTTATATAGTTAGCTTCACCTCCTCTAAACAGCCTTCCCTAATGACTCCGTGCCCCAGTCCAGACAAGGGTAGTTGAAGAAACAGGCTCAGGTGCTCACAAATGCAAGTTGCCGTTTGGGACACATCAAAACTTGTTTTCAAGCAGTAGGAAAATTTGGGCATTAAGGAAGTCATTAGGTACAATGTCATAAGTTCAGAATTAAGCTGTGCTGTTCTCAAATGGGAGTAAGCTCTTGCCAGTTATAATAAATTATTTAAGTGGAAATCTTCTTAGTTCATGGTAGTTATACTAGGCCTGTTAATAAGAGGGTATATGGTTGGACATTGACAGTTGCGGTGTATAAATAGTGTTCCTAGCAAGAGCCTGACAAGGAGCGTTTAAGGTTATCACAGGGTGATGGCCTCACCTTGTCCATGGCTGACACAGTATAGTTTCGTTTAGCAAAAAGAGTTCTGGACAAAAAGAGGACAGAGATGGAGAGAAGTTGGAAGTTGGTCAGTCTCCTACTGGCTGATGTCATCGGGCGATCCAGTTCCTCCAGCATTCTTCCTTGGAAACCGTGTCTCATCCATGACCTTTGGAACTATATTTCTTCCCATGATAGCTGCTTGGGTTGTGTGACCTCAGAGAATTCATTTCCCTTCTCCAGGTTCAGACTGGCATATTTAAAAAATCAAGGCTTTGGACTGGATGCTCTACTGGCCTTGTTCTCATATGTTTATTAACTCTGTCAAGTGTAAAATCAGGAGTAAGATCCTAGTAAATGAATTTGCTAGTAGCTCTTGCCTGTTTGGTATATGTCCTGAAAATGCATTCCGCAAATTATTATATTGGATAAAGTTGTTTTCAGAGGTGGATTGCAAGTGAAGGTTATTTTATGCTCTGATCAAAGGGGTTTAGCTAGAAATTTCTCTAGATTGATATCTAGATCAGGTACCTGAAAGTGTTGAAGGAATCTGCCTCAGTGGGCACAAGATCTGGGGTTGTATGGGCTCTTCCCTGGGAGACTTTGGCCAAACCATGGGGGACACTGAGTAGTTTTTATTCTCATTCTTCTTCTAAGGTTGAATCCCACTTTGGGGACCAAATGCAATGCTCTAATATTGTCTCCAGTGTCTCTGTGCCTCCCCCAAGACCACTGGCTTTTGCCAAACTAATAGCTTCTATTTATAGAGCCTGAGTACTTGGGCGGTGTATTTACAGAGCCCAGAAGGGAAAGGGGGTTTCATTTCGCAAATGAGAACCACTTTTCATGCTTTCCTTGCTGACTTGCCCATGGACCACTCCAGATATACACTACTGGTATCCAGCTTCTGTAGAGAAGCCATTGTAACTGAGGGCATGTGGTCAAACAACTTAGCCTGGGACAGCCTCCCTTTTGCAGAGGCCCGGGGTAGAATAGTTCTCGTGAATGAGTTTCTGTAGACTTTCAGGACTTTCAAAACAAAACCAGAAGGTGAGCTGGAAGGTGCTTTCCTCCTGGTCCTGTGTGGTTGGCCTCTGCCAGGTCTCCAGCTCCATCTAGGAGATGGTACAGAGAGCTTTGCAGCTCTGACTTGGTGTCTCTCCTCAGGTCAGGAGATGTCCCTGTTGCCTTTTTGTGCTTTCAAGAAGTATTGGGTGGTAGTTAACAACACATACGCTGGAGCCGGAATTGGGCAAGTTTCTTAACCTCTGCGTATCTGTTTCATAAGGCTTCTGAGGATTTCGTTTGTAAAGATATTTAAAGGCCTTGGAACAATTTCTGACAGATATAAAGCAGTTTGTGATGATGGTGATCAGGATTATTACTGAGGGTAGAGATGGGGGAAAGTTAGAAATTGGTTAGCTTCCTCACATCAGGTGAGTTCAGAATACCAAGTGGTCACTGGCCAATTCAGTCCCTCTGGCACTCTCCCTTAGAAACTTTGACCATTGGAACTACTTTGCTTCCAGTCATAGCCACATAGGACATTTGTATACATTTGACATTGAATGCTTTAAGCCCTGTCATAGAGTCAGCAGAAGATCTGTGTTTTTGTCCTATCACACATGGAACCTGGACTTTCAGCCTCTTTTTTCTGCACACACCCTTTGACTTCATTTCCATTACATTGAGTGCATAGTGGTTGGTTGGCATGTTGGTAATACTTCCAGGACCTCCGTGTATGGCCACACAAGTTCTGCACTGTAAAACTCTGGGGGACCACTATTTATTGCAGAACTAAATACAACTTAGCCACATACTCAAATCTAAGATGTATTAAAAACTCAAGTTAACCAAAAGAATGTGGTACAGGGTTCACATGTGGGCAGGCATCTCTTATAAATAGGAATGCTTTTTAAGGTAATTTTATACCATGATGACCTCATAAGAAAAAATGTTTCCTCTATTAATCAAAGTAGTAGCAAGCTCCTTACACACACAGTAATCTGACTACCATGGAAGGGGAACTGATTAAGTATTGAAAAACAAAGCTGAAAGATAAAATCTTCTGGTTATGGTTTGGTTTCTGATTATGAAAGAGAAGAAGGCTTACACAGACGTAGAAAACAAATATATGGATACCAAGGGGGAAAGGGGTGGGGTGGGAGGAATTGGGAACTGGGATTGACACATATATAGTACTGATACTATGTATAAAATAGACAACTGATGGGCACATACTGAATAGCACAGGGAATTCTACCTAATGCACTGTGGTAACCTAAGTGGGAGGCAAGTCCAAAAGGGAGAGGATATCTATATGTGTATGGCTGATTCTTTTGTTGTGCAGTGGAGGCTAACACAACATTGTAAAGCAACGATATTCCAATAAAAATTAATAAAAAAAAGAAAGAGAAGGAGGCTTGCCCCATCCATAAAAGGTTGATTTTGTATGTAGGTGCAGTAGGTTACAGAAAAATTGGAATTGAGGGAGGAGCCCTTGAACTCTAAAGAAAACAACGAAGTCTCCTTGAACTTAATTGAGATCTGATATTCTGCCATCAAAAATTAATTCCCTTCATTCATACTTATGTATTCCATGTACATATCTTGGATAGGAGGATGCACTAATTTTCAGTAGTCATTTACCCTGCAGAATGAATGAATGGACCACACATGTTGATAAGAAAAGGATTTCATGGGGGAATGTAGAGAGGACCTCATTGCACAGCCTCTTCATGTGGTAAAAAGGGTGCAACAGAGAGAGGACATGGTGACCTGCTGAGTGCAAATACTGACCATTCAGAATTTTGCAAGGATAGACTCTAGGACCATGATTTTAATTTAGAGTTAACCAAAAGTTCAAGAACTGATTAGAAGTGTTTGCTCAAGATTTTTATGTACTTGGGATGTTCTCAGAAGTTAAATAAAAACTTTCCCTCTCTTACTTGAACAAACAGAGTCGATGTGGCATGTTTCTTTCTTTAGAACAGTGAAACATGCCACCATGCCTGGCCCTCTGTAGACATCCAGTGAATGCCTCTGGGGCAAAATATGTTTCATAGCTCCACATTTTTTTTAAAATTTATGTTTATTTTATGCTGAATTTATTCCTGGGTCGTATATTTTTGTTGCTTCAGTTTCTTTTGGGACATCTTCTTCTGTGCAACCTCCTCTTCAGGTTTAGGTACAATTTGCTCTTTTTCAATAGGGATCATCTTAGTGTGGCAGAGAGGGCTCAGGTAGAGGTTAACCTGTCCATGAGCTCTGTAAGTCCAGGGCCCATCTTGGATTCTGTTCCCCTGGATGTGCTCGATGCCAGAGACGCTACATCAAAACCCTTAAGTGTAACTTTACTCTCCGCATTTTTAAGCATGTGCGGCAAAAAATTCACTCTTTTTTGGGTCATGGACCCTCTGTCCAGCCCCACTCTTTGACCTGGATGGATACGCCAGCCAACTCCAACATTGTAATGATGGAATAGCATGCGTTGCTTCTGTAAAGTGACATCTTTCAGAGACTTGGTGGCTTTTTGGATATGCATACCCTCTATGGCCTGGCTTCATGGGTGTTCTTAAAGTGAACGTGAAGATTTGAACCTCTTGATTTGCAAGATTTTGTGGGGTTTTCTGTGTCAAGTGAGGAGTGAACCATTCTCAGAGACCACATCAGGCAACTTCCAGTGAGAGGAAGCTATATCCACCTTATTTTACCAGGAGATAAGGAAGTATATTTTGAAACACATTTTAGGAAATTAGTAGGTTCCTTTTTGGGTAAATGGGCTTTCCAAGTCTTGATGGAACACAGCTGAATGCAAAGCCAGTGTTACTTCTGGCAGCTCTGTGAGCCCCTCACCTTCCACCGCAGGACTTCGTGCTCGGTTGTACCACCAGTGGTTGTATATATACTCAAGCAAAAACTACGTTTCTAAAGCTAATAATTTGCATCATTTAGAATATTTATTTTCTCATTTCAGAAAGTGGATGTCACCAGCAGGGCTGTGATGGAAATAATGACTAAAACAATTGAGTACCTTCAACCCAATCCAGGTAAGGGCTCGTTTTATACTTGCAGGGGTATCCCTCCAGGTAACTTTTCGTTTCTCTTTGGTAGACAGGCTAGGTTTGGTGTGCTTCTGCTTGCTCTGTCCTCCCTTCTGGAAGTTCAGTGGCTTCAGGTGGAGCATTTCGACCGGGAAGGGAGGACTTTTTAGGTTCACACTGAAGTAACTGGAGGCTTCTGTGATATTTTATCTGACTGTAGTGTAATTAACAAACAGCACTGTGTGGACAGCGTGGGTGGCACATGATGTCAGGGTAGCTGCAAGCTGTTAGGAACTGAACACTCATTTGAAAGGGATTGTAAGAAAGGAAAACTGGGAGAATTTTCAGATAAAACATCGTAATTCACCAAAGGTGTGAAAAAGTAGGAAGTTGAACGGTTTTTGTGAAATACAGAGGGTTTCGGTCCATACGCATCACTGAAGTCTTTGGAGGGTTGTTCTTTGTTCTGATTTTTCTCCAAGCACATCACAGATCAGCACTTGTTCTTGCTAACCTGTTACACTCTTAAGAGAAGGGAGTTATAATAGAGATAATGGAGCTGTACCTTGAAAAGAGAACCAGGCAGAAGTGGGGTGATCTCGAAGAGCACAAGGTGTAACAGAGCAAAGCAGCTGATACTCTAGACCCCCTCAGCACTCTTCCTGAATAGCAGTTCCTAACTGCAGAGTATAGAAACTTGAAGCAAGGTTGAATATATTTAAGTAAAACGTATGAATGTTGGGAAAACTGCGTATCTTGAGACCAGTTTCTTTGGGAGTTTCAGGTTGAGATTCCTGTGTCTTTGGTGGTACTAGGGGAGATGGTTCAGGCACTGTGTCAGCCCCACTGTGTTTGGATTCTGAGCGTTAATGGGTGAGAGATAAGAAAAGGAAATACGTGGGATAAGAGGAGGCAGACAAGCACAGTCAGTGCTGACCAGCTCCCTACTGCCTTCTGCTGCTGCTGGCTGCAGCTTTTCGCTCAGCCCAAACTGTGGGAATAACATTCTCAGTTTTTTTAAAAACTGCATCAGAGATGGGATTATGTGAGGAAGGAAAATATTCAAGTAAGTGATAAGCCATAGGAACCAGGCATTTAACTGATAGTAGACCAAATTGTTGGCAAATTAGGCAACGAATAGCAAAAATGAAGTTTCCAGTTTTTGCTTGCAGCCTTCTTCATGACCTCTGTATTCCACAGAGATTCAAGGATCTCTTATCTAAGAGATCTTCACCTGTTCCTAAGTATTTAAACAACTGTGATAGGTCAGTTTTGAAAAGAGAACTGCTCACCCGAAGTCTCATGGTAAGAAGTCATTGTTTAGGGAAGGATGTCTTTGAGTAGAATCTTGAAGTGCTCCCTCATTTCCTGGGATTTACGCATGGATGGTGCTAGGATTACTTAGCCCTGCTGTTGTAGGGCTAATATATATTTTTTAACATCTTTATTGGAGTATAATTTCTTTACAATGTTGTGTTAGTTTCTGCTGTAAAACAAAGTGAATCAGCTATACAAATACATATATCCCTATATCCCTTCCCTCTTGCGTCTCCCTCCCACCGTCCCTATCCCACCCCTCTAGGCGGTCACAAACTCCCTGTGCCTATGCGGCTGCTTCCCACTAGCTGTCTGTTTTACATGTGGTAGTGTATATGTGTCCATACCACTCTCTCACTTTGTCACAGCTTACCCTTCCCCCTCCCTGTGTCCTCAAGTCCATTCTCTATGTCTGTGTCTTTATTCCTGTCCTGCCCTTAGGTTCATCAGAACCACTTTTTTTTTTTTTTTTTTTAGATTCCATATATATGTGTTATCATGCAGTATTTGTTTTTCTCTTTCTGACTTACTTCACTCTGTATGAAAGACTCTAGGTCCATCCACCTCACTACAAATAACTCAATTTCGTTTCTTTTTATGGCTGATTAATATTCCATTGTACATATGTGCCACATCTTTTTTATCCATCCACCTGTCGATGGACACTTAGATTGCTTCCATGTTGTAGGACTAATATTAAATGTAGGGAAGGAGAGGGAAAATATAGTATTTACTGAGCACTAATGCATTTTCATTATGTCGCTAGTTATATACACTGTCTTCTCTCTAAAAGTAGCTGTTTTTTCCCTGATTATAAAAAGAAAATGCAGTTGAAAAATTCATAGTATAGCAAAGAAACTAAAAATCCATGAACACAGATCTTTGGTGGGGACCCATCTGTGTTCCTGAGTATAATGGAATTCAGGTGTATGGAGGTATGCTGTGTTGAATAGGATGTCCCTCAAAATCCAGGGCTACCCAGAACCTCCAAATGTGACTTTATTTGGAAATAACATCTTTTGAGATGTAATCAGTTAATGATCTTGAGATGAACTCATTCTGGAGTTAGAGTGGGCCCTGAATCCAACAACTGGTGTCCTTATAAGAAGAAGAGAAAACACAGAGAGACACAGGGCAGAAGGCCACCTGAAGACAGAGGCCAAGATTAGAGTGTTGCTGCCACAAACCAAGGAATGCCGGGAGCCACCAGAGCTGGAAGAGGTGAGGAAGGATTCTCCCAGAAAGCCTCAGAAAGAACCAACCGTACTGACACCTTGATTTCAAGTGTCTTGAACTGTGAGAGAGTAAATTTCTGTTGTTCTAAGCCACACAATCTGTGGCAATTTGTTATGGCAGACCTAGAAAACTAATATAGTAGGCTAGCCTAATTTTCCTCGGGAAAAAACAAGGGCCAGAGAATTTAAGAAACCTTCCCAAAGTTACACACCTAGGAAGGGATGAAACCAGGACTGGAACCCAGGTCTGATGCCCCCGAGCCCAGGAACTTTCCATTGCACAGTCCTGCTTCTGAGAAGAATGGGTTCTTCATTTAGGTGCAAAGGGTACTTTACTTTCAGAGTGGATATGACAGAAATCCAGAAAGGGAACAAATTGTGGGGTTGAGACTTATTTTTATTTTAATAAAGAAGATAACAGGAGGAGGTAATTGGGGGAGATTTGAAATTTTAGAAATGATGTATTTTTAACAGAATCTTGAATGTGCTTATTAGCTACCAACATATTGGTTTTATGGCTATTTAAAAATTGAATGAACATCTGCCACCAAGGAGAACCATTAAGGCCATCACCAGGCGATCACAAGTTGGTTTCAGAAAAGCAGTTATATGTGGGCAGGGTACATATTTATACAAATAAGTGTCATCTACAAGGGTCCAGAGTAAAACAAAATTTCATATGCTCATTCTTCAGAATTTAGATAATTTGTGTTTAATTGGCTTATAATAGATATGACTTAGTTCCTCCATGAATTTCTTGCCCTGAGAGCAGACACTGGCTAGAGCTCCTGAAAGGTGGCTGATCCAGTACACTTGTTCAGAATGCAAGTGCCCTTGAGAAGGGGACACAAGAATCTAGCCAACACCCAGAGGCTCCCAGTCCTTGGGCACAGAAGAGCAGAATATTCCCAAACTCATGCTGTTTGATAAATGCTTTGACCACTCAGCCTCTCTGTGACCCCAGAAACTGGGTCAACCAATATGGATCACTGGCTTCTGGTCCTGAATAAGCAAGATCTGGCCAGGGTCAGGATAGGGGCTTATGCAAAGTAACAAATTTACCTGGACAGGCCAGTAGGATCTGTGGAAATTAATGCTCTGAGGGTACTTTGAAAGTATCTTGTATTTGATTCATACTCTAGGATGCATTCTGGCTTTCACATCTTGTGGTTATGGAGCATACACATCTGTATAGTCTTGAAGCTCAATTCCTATTGAAATGATGACCAAAGAGAGTTGGATTACTTTTCTTGAATCTGTAGCTGTGCTCTGTGTAGGCACCCCCATCTGCTCTTGCCCACCTCCGGAGTGATATTTTAAAAGGCAGACCTGATCATGTCATCATCTTGCACAAAACCCTTCAATGGATTTTCACTGCTTTTAGGGTTAAGTTTTACCATTTTTAACAAGGCTCAAAGGGCCCTCCTTACATGGTCAGCCTGCCCTTTCCCCTCTACCTTGCCAGACAAACAGTCTCCTCAGGTCCAGCATCAAGGTCATTTAGAAAGAAGCCTTCCTGAAGCCCTGACTGCATTAGGTTCCACCATCAATGACCCTCTCATGGACTTCCCTGGTGGCGCAGTGGTTGAGAGTCCGCCTGCCGATGCAGAGGACACGGGTTTGTGCCCCGGTCCAGGAAGATCCCACATGCCGCAGAGCGGCTGGGCCCGTGAGCCATGGCCGCTGAGCCTGCGCACCTGGAGCCTGTGCTCCGCAGCGGGAGAGGCCACAGCAGTGAGAGGCCCGCGTACCACACAAAAAAATAAATAAATAAAAAATTACCCTCTCATGATCCCAGCTGCTTTTCCCTGGTGGCACATGCCACACTTACTGTAATTGCATGGTGTGTGTGCTTTGGTTTGTCCTCCCCTGTAAGGACAGGGCTCTGCCTGTCTTATTCCCCACCATCCCCCCATATGCCCCAGGCCCCAGCTCAGTTCCAGGCAGCCCGTGACATTTGGATATTTGAAAAAGTGGATTATGAAGCACAGTTGATACTCAGTGGCTAATGTGATAAAACTGCTATAATGTAAAGGAGAGACGGAGAAACTCTTCCTTTCCCCTAACCCATCAGCTCTACCCATGTAACCAACATTTATCAAATGCATTTACTTTTATACAAGGACCTATGCAATTCTAGATATAGTGGGGGTAGATACAGAACCAAGATTGGGCCCCTGCCCCTTGGGACCTCACAGTCTAACAGCATAAAGTATGTATACTCTAAGGAGAGCTGCACAGAGGCCTTCATGGCTAATTCCTTCTGGAAATTCCAGCTAACTGATGAAGTGAGGAGGGGTGAGTGGGGTCACAGGCCTGCAGGTGTGGCCTGCAAAGGCAGGGCTTTCGAGGACATAGAACAGAGACCTGTAAAGTCTTTCAGCTTGGACTGTGAAATGATTCTGACAGGAACAACATAAACCAGTACGGATTTCCAAGCTGCTTAGATAAGAA